AGAACTATCAACACAGCAGAAATTTCAGGTAGATCAAGTAGGCTAGTATAGATTTCTTCAAATGGATAAAAAGTTTACGAGTTTTTAAATTCATAGCAGTTGACATTTTGTATGTTGATAGACTGAATGGTATTGTTGATGATCCAGCAATAATTTTGTTCTGTATTGCAAATATTGTAGATCAATTTACAAATCTAAATTGAAATGAAAATATATATATGTCTATATACCATCCTATAATATAGTTACCTATATTATGTTTATAGTATAGTTAACTCCTATAATATAGTTAATTTTTATGGAATTTAGGAAGAGCATAAAGGTTAGTAAATATCTTAGATTTATAGAGATTTTGATTTTTTTATGAAATGCTATAATTCTGTTAATGATTGAGGTTTCTGTAGTGTTTGCAAGATGGAAACTATTGGCCTTATAAAGTTGTGTCCTAGTAATTGCTTTGTAGAAAAATGTTTCATATATTGCTAAAATTATTATTACCTTTGTCAGTTTTGGTGAACGTAAATTGTTTAAATTTTTTTTTTATTTCAAAGAAATTGAGATCATTTTAAACTACTTTTAAACATTATTAGTTTCTGTTTTGTTTTGATTTGCTGAAGGAGATTTATCTTTCTATCTTATAAATTTGTATTATTGGGCAAAAAAACCTGATAGCCAGCTGTTGGGTGTTTATAGCCAGGAAGAAAGCTTTACACATGTTGAAAGTTCAAGAGAAATTGAATTTATGAAACCATGGATTCAGAAAATAATTTTAATGAAAATTCTTCATTTAGTGTTTTTGCAAGAGAGTCTGTATTTACAAAGGGTTCGTACGGTCCTTAAAAGTCCTTAATTTTTTCAAAAATGATTTTTGGTCCTTAAAAGTCCTTAATTTTGGCCAAAATGAATAAACGGTCCTTAATTTTGCTCATTTGACATTTCTTATCATTTCTAATGATTGCCATTCTAAGTGTGAATTACGATTTCTCATGAATATGGAATTACGGCTCTTAACCAATCTGTTGGCGGATTTGCGTTGCAAACGATTAAAAAATCAATTAGCTACCCGAACGAAAGTATCGGTGTCTGATTGGCTATTCACCCAATCTTTCGAAACAGGTGTTATCCATACATTTAGGCAGACTGTTACGAAAGCGTGAAGCCGGAAGTTCTTTAAGAGGCGAAAGTGATGATGAAGGTGCTCGAGAAAAAAAAAGGGGCGGGGGAGATTCTGAAAATATTTGCCAAAATCAGAGCAATTCCAACCTGGAAGGCCACAACGCCAATAGGAACGAGATGCCTGGAAAGTGCATTTTCAATAAACTGTGGCTTCATCAAGCTGACTACAAAGACTGGATATTGATGGATGGCAATCCTTAAATGTGGTCTTTGTCTGAAACAAATTGAAATTTCTAGAATGGGAAAGTCAGCGCTGAAAAATTCACATGAAAATTAAGTTTTCGTTTTATCATTTTCAATTTGTTTTTACAAACGGTTTTGCTTAGCTTAATTTCTGTGTTTTGCTTCAATTAAGCCATAAATTAATTTTTTATCACCTTCTACGGAGTTTATTCTCTTTTGCACATACTATATGTATGGGATATCGGGATTATGAGTTTATTTCTGCAGAGGGTCTGTTATCGATTTCGCGGGAAATCTGTTGGCTCCATTTCGATTTTAGGTCGCCAAGGGCAAATTTGGTAACGCTAGCCGAGAAAAAAGTGAAGTTTGGAAATACGTTTTGAAGCTTTCAATAGACAATTAAGTATTTGGTTTAAACCTATGTTGTTGATAGTAATGCATAATTTTTGCTAATGGCGATACAATTATTAGTTGAAAATAACTAATTAAAAATTTTTTAATATTTTTAAAGCTGAAAACAACGTATTTTAGATTGTGTCGAAAGTAAATTTAGTACAGTACAAAGTCCGTAATCCGGACTCGTCGGGACTTCAGCGATTCCTGATTAGAGGTTTTTCCGGATTATAGATCATCAATTTAAATCTGGTAAGATGGCTTGCAGAAATTATAAAATTAAAAATATAAAATCCTAATTTGTGAAATAAAGAGCAATTATGAGCTAAAGGGTATCAAAATTTACAAAAAAAAGTTAATATTTATTTGTTTACTTTATTAAACATTTCTTTCAACGTGCGCATGCGTAAAGCATACATTACGCATAGTCGAAATTAGAAAATTGCAACCAAAAAACTATTTGTGTATTCGTGATATTTATAATGACGAGGAATTTGATTTAAATCATATCAAAGATTGAGTACATCGAGATGAAATACTACATTTAGTAAGGAATTATAAGCCGAATAAAATAATAACATTTGCCCTGAAGATGAGGATTGTGCTGACAGATCAACTTCCAGTTCATTGCGCGCCGCGACGTTCGCCCCCAAAGCATGTTTGATGGACATAGAAACATGCTTTCGCTTTGTAGATCCTTTGGCAGCTCCAGAATCGGAATTCTTTTTGACATAATCGAAAGTTCAAGCTTACTTTTATAAAATTGCTCTAACAGTCTGCAAAAAATAATAAGCCGGATCCAATTAGAAGATTAAGATTAGATAATTTTAGCTTAGCTTATACCGTCCGTTATACATTAAATGCGCGTGCGTAAACGCATGCGCAGAAAGTTTGTAGCTTTGAGGTCCGGATTATAGATGATTCCGGATTATGGACATCCGGATTAAAGACTTTTGACTGTATATGTTTTGTTTTAATTTGATCTAATTTGTCAATGATAGTCCATTTATTATTTATCATATGCTATGTGTAATGATTAATTACTTAGATTTAGTTTGTTAACATATTATTAAATATTAGATTTAGTTTGTTAACATATTATAATTAATTATTAGATTTAGTTTGTTAACATATTATAATTAAATAAAGTAAACTGGATTTTCTCACTTAGTTTGTCAATGTATGTTGTCATTTTTATTTTCTTATTTCAAAGAATTAAATAAACAGCATTAAGAAATTGTAAAATTCTTTAGTGTTATTTCCAAACACTTGCTATATTTGCCCATTTTTTATGTAAATATGAATGTAATGTTTGGTGAATACTAAATTGTTTTTATTCCTTAGAAGTATAATCAATAAACTTTCAACTAATATCTCCTAAATTGCAATCTTTTTTCCTCCAAAAAAATTGTTATCATTCCAAAGGAATGTGTAGAATTTCATAAGTATTGCATCTTCTATATTGTATGCAGTGTTTCCCATTATTTAGTAACAATTAAATAATTGTTTGCATTTTTGACTTCTTTGTTTTCCCCTTCTCTTACCTTCTATTGCTATTAATTTTTTCATCGGAATATTTAGCAGTAATTTCTGAAAAAAAAAAAAAAAATAGAAATACAGTCAAAAGTCTAATCCGAACTGATCTATAATCCGAACCTCAAAGCTACAAACTTTCTGCGCATGCGTAAACGCATAATGCATTTACGCATGTGCATAATATGTTTGCGCATGCGCATATGCGTTTAATGTATAACAGACGGTATAAGCTAAGCTAAAATTATCTAATTATCTATTTCAGTTCTTAATCTTCTAATTGGATCCAGCTTATAATTTTTTTGCAGACTGTTAGAGCAATTTTATAAAAGTAAGCTTGAACTTTCGATTATGTCAAAAAGAATTTCCGATTCTGGAGCTGCCAAAGGATCTACAAAGTGAAAGCATGTTTCGATGTCCATCAAACAAAAAGTGGAATTGCTGCAAAAAATGGATAAAGGCATACCCTATATTTCTCTAACCATTCCGAAATCTGCACGCTGCTCTGCAAGGGGGGTTGACGTCACGGCGCGCAATGAACTGGAAGTTGATCTGTCAGCACTATCCTTATCTTCAGGGCAGACATTTTTATTTTATTCTTCTTATAATTCCTTACTAAATGTAGTATTTCATCTCGATGTACTCCATCTTTGATATGATTTAAATCAAATTCCTTGTCATTATAAAATATAACAAATACACATCAAATAGTTTTCTGGTTGCAATTTTCTAATTTTGACTATGTGTAATGTATGCTTTATGCATGCGCACGTTATAGATTATCAATTTAAATCTGGTAAGATGGCATGCAGAAATTATACAATTAAAAATATGAAACCTTAATTTATGAAATAAAGAGCAATTATGCTCTAAAGAGTATGAAAATTTACAAAAAAAAGTCTTAATATTTATTTGTTTACTTTATTAAACATTTCTTTCAATGTAAGTTGTTCAATTAAGTTCAATTAAGTTGCTTCATTTTTTTTGTGCGAAACGTGCATGCATAAACATTAAACGTGCATGCGTAAAGCATACAAAAAATGTCTGTGGCTTTGAGGTCCGGATTATAGATCATTCTGGATAATCGACGCCCGGATTACAGACTTTGTGCTGTATTATATATTTATTTTAAATGCATGGAACCATAGTATTTTACATTTAATTTAACCATAATGTTTTATATAGAATTTAACTGTGGTTGTGTTCTTATTTTTGCTGTTCTGTAAATCCGCAGGAACATATTTGATTGTTCTTTAGCTGGCTTAGTAAGTTAAGAAATAAAGATTATACTATGTTATTTTCTTTAATAACTCAGAATTATTAACAAATGGTTTTACATTAAAAAGCAATTGACTGCATTAATAATTCCCCCAAAATTCGGTAGAACAGCAGATATTTACACAGATTTTAGTTATGCGTAAATTTGATTTTAAGTAGCGATTTCCCCATTGCCAAAGTTAGGTCATATGCATATATATAATACCTATAACATTCATGCAAAGTTATAATATCTGTTAATTTATCATATTGTCTAAACATTAATACATTAATTAATGCATTTATTAATGCATGTTTAATAATCAATAGGTACTATATTTTTATTAAATATTTGGCATAAACCAGAATCATGACTGGCTTTGATTATAATGTTATGTGTCTTGCTAATGTTATAGAATTTGTAATAATTCTAATTTTTAATTTTGTTTATCTTTCAGAAATATTTTGCTAGTAATAATGATGACCATCCTGAACGCGGTCTTTATTTAGACCCTACCGTCCGTAGAGTAGATTTAAATACAGTTCCGTTGAACGGAACTGAATTCATTATTAAATCAAAGATGGAAGAAGAAGCTATGCGCCGCAACAATGAGGGTGAACATGAAGCTGATAATGAAGGTCAGGCTGAAAATGGCAATCGGGAGATTGAAGGTGCTGTTGAAGATCTCTTAGAACTCCTGAAAGATTGTGGTGTCCCTTTTTACCCTGCTGACGATGAGGATGAGGATGAGGATGAGGATGATGATGAAGATGAAGAAGAAGAAGAAGAAGAAGATGAAGTTCAATATTTCGCACAAACTTTTTCTATTTAATTTTTCTTTTGATTAATGAAAGTTTTTAATGTATTGTGAAACTTTTCTTATTTTTTTATTAAAGTGAATAAAGTTTTTTTCTTTAGAACTGTTTGCATTGTTATGAAATGAAATAAAATGTTAATTTTGTGTATGAAAAGTATGTGTTTGCTAACACAGAGTAAAAGCTGTATGTCAGAATAGCTGTTATCTCTCATTCCTCATTAAATATTTTTGTCTCAAAATATAAAAATCGTTCTTTGGTCAAATGCCACTAATAGAATAAATACTATTCGATAAACAGCATTCAGAGAGTTTTAAAATTGGATGAAATTATCTTTTCTTTGTAAAAGGAAGCTTTACATGCATCAGAGTACTTTTAAAAACGTTGACTAGTTAAAGGATAAATAACATCAATTTATCCTTCAACTAGTCTACGTTTTTAAAAGTACTCTGATGCATGTAAAGCTTCCTTTTACAGTTGTTTATCCTTTTACAGATGTTTATCTTTAAATCCCAAGTTTATCTCAAGCAAATGACCAAAATCCATCCTGCTTTTAACAAACTTGCCCTAATGGGGTTATCACATCTAGCAGTGCAATAGTAAACTTTTGAGAAATGAGATTGTGGTAGCATTGGGTTAAAACAAGAGATCCTACAAAAACAGCTCCACTGAAAGCGACGTCTTGCCTCCCGGCATGAGATAATTTGAGACTTTGCTGAAAAAGTTTGAAGTGCGTGTTCTGTGTAGTAGCAGTATCAACCTGAGTAAATTTTTGCTTTCGAAAAATAATGGGATGTTTTGAATATGGTGACATCTGTGGTATTGATGTCTTGGATGACAAAAATAAAAGCCGATTTTATTAAAGAAGTACAAAAATTCCATATTTGTGGGATGTCAAGCATCGATATTACACAAGAAAGAATCTTAGTCTACTGTGATGAAATAGGACTGCTAAAGCAGAGATGGATGGAATATGCTGGAAACTTAAGATACGGTAAGTAAAAAATGTATATATGTGTTGTTTTAATAGTGAAACTATGAAAATGATTAAAAAAGTGTTTATATACTGATTCAGTTTTTGATCATAGAAATTTCAGCTTGAACAAACAGTTATTTTTTAATTTTGATAATTTTTGTATGAATTATTTGGCACCAAATGTTTATTTTTATTACAAATATTATATATTATACATTTCAAACTTATGGATTATTATGCATAATTGAAAACATTTGTCAATATGTATAATTATAACATTCATTAATATGTATCTTATTCAATACATTAACCCTTTGTGACGAACCTGCACTTTTCCATGGCGGCCCGAAGGGCAAGCACAAAACATCCGGTGGTTCAGTTTTTCTAATGTTATTTATTATCGTTATATTTACAACTGTCCTATTGTTAGACGGACTACCTTCACAGAAATCATGTTGCCTAATCAAACGACATTTCGTTTCTACTTACGTGCATTACGGTACTGCCAAGCAGCGCCCTCTACTTCTCTCTTTACAACACTCCCCACCTGTGAACTCTTAAGTTCACACAAACCGAATACAAAATAAACCAGTATTTCTAAATCAAACACAACATTTGAATACTATATAAACTACATCAAATTACAATAACAATTATAATGTTTAAACACGTTAAATCAACTTATAAAGTAATTACTAAATAAGAAACATTATACTAAATCAAAATTCCCAATAATTATATAAACTAAACTACATTTAGCAACAATCAATAAAGATACTCAGAAGATGACATAAGTGTAAACAATAAATCAGATTATTACACTGAACTCTTTACTACTAATTATGCACTTCAAGGTTGTACAGCAATTGTACTGGTCTCTTTAGATTACCTGTTTGAGTTTTTATTAGACAAGAGCGAACCTGACCATCTCTGCCAGGATAAGTTCTATTATCTTACCTAGTGTCCACAAATTCCTAGGTAAACGATCGTCATGTATAAGGACTACGTAATTAACATTAAACCATGGACCTTATAAATAAGGTCCATGCATTAAACTGACCAGACACTTTAGAAGGTGGACATAAATCCACAGATCTTAAGGAAAGCAAGTAATCCTTCCTCCGCCTATTCCAAAAGTGGTTTAACAATGTTTGTTGATGCTTATACCTTTTGATCAACGAATGTCTAGACCCAATCAAGTCTTCTCTGCACACTCTTTCAACTGGAAGAGAAAGTAAATGTTTACCAATTAAGAAATGAGCAGGAGTTACCAGTGAGGGTTCTGAAGGGTCATTGTAGACATACGTTATGGGCCTTGAATTAATTATGGCTTCGATTTCTATTAAGACTGTTTCTAGCTCATTCAAACAGAGACTAGAACATCCAACTATTTTCCTTAAACAAGTTTTAAATCGTTTTAAAATGCCTTTCCCAGAACCCTCCCACCATGCTCCTTTTTTTCCACAAAACTTCCATGTTATAACCGTAGGAAGAAAACAAATTTTGTACAGATGGTTGTTGAATACACTTCCAAATTTTTTCGCAACTCGAGATCAGCACATTTGAATGTCTTGCATTGTCCGATAATCGTTGAGCACAATCCACGACGAGAAATAAACCTGCGAAACGCAAGCATAAATTCTCCACGCTCATTGGTCGTGACATTGTGAGTTTAAGAGAAATAATGAGCGGTTTGTTAAAATTTAGATCAGATGAAAGATCTTTTAATATAGCATTTTAATACTATTTAGCACAGTGTAATAAGTTCATTTTACAGTACGCAACATCCTCAAAAATGATCGTTACAACGCAGTTCGATCATCCATCTTTTTTAACAACAATCTCTCTCGTTCCATTCCGTAACAGAGAAACTTACCTCTCATGGAGTTCGATAGTGGCGCGACATTCTCCCCCAACCTTGAGTTTGGGGATACAAACTCAAAACAGAATATGATAATACATACATACAATTTTTGAAATAACAATAACGTACATAATAATATAGAAATATTTCAAATATTAGATGCAAAAAATCAATATTTTAGAGTTCAAACACAGAAAGTTCAAAATTTGTTTAGAAGTTTATATAGCCAGTCTTAATATTTCCCTTTTCAGTTCGCAGTTTCAAGTCTGATGATCCATCTTTTCCTGGAAAGAGTTCCAATACTCTCCCTAGCAGCCAATGGAGCCTTTTTTTATCCATCTGTACCAATTAACACTATGTCACCTACATTTATTTTATCTTCTCTTTTGTTAACTGAAGAACGAAGGAAACCCAGATACTCCCTTTTAAACCTTCATTTTAGATTTTCACGAACCTTTTGAATATGTCTCCATTCTCAAAACAATATTAGTCTTTTCAATTTGATCCAAATCAGGAACATCATTTAATGGAATGTCCTGAAGAAACATTGAGGGGGTCAAGGTCTTCAGATCTTGTTCCTCGGATATGTAAGTTAATGGTCTGCTGTTCATGATAGATTCGCATTCACAGACGAGAGTCTGCAATTCCTCGTAAGACAAACAGGAGCGTCCAAGATTTTTTTTTTCTCAAAGATCTTTCAAAATCCCAATCAAGCGTTCCCAGAAGCCTCCCCACCATGGAGAGGAGGGTGGGTTAAACTTCCAACGAATTTCGTTGACTCTAAATTCATTCACTTTCAATTGTAGTCCAATCTAATTGTTTCAGAGCATTATTTGTTTAGTCCTGTAAAATTAGTACCATTGTCTGAATACATCACAGAAATTCGTCCTCTTCTGGCTATAAACCTACGCATAGCTTGGATGAAGTCATTGGTACTCAGTGAAGGTATTAGCTCAAGATGGACAGCTCTAAATACGGCGCAAGTAAAAAGTACTATCCACACCTTTTGTTTAGATTTAGTCAACAGAGGTCCAGCTATATCTACACCTGATACTTGAAAAACTGCTGCTACTTCTGTTCGGTCTTTTGGAAGAGGCGGAAAAGGTACCTCAAGATGTTTTACCTTTTGCCTTTTACATGTTAAGCATTCTTTGATAACACTCCGGACAGTTCTTTTCCCTTTCACTATCCAAAATCTTTCCCGTAAAATAGTCAGTAGAGTTAATGTCCCAGCATGCTTGTTAGCAATATGTTCTTGGGCTATAAATCTTCTCACTGCCAGGTGTTTCGATGGTAGAATTATTGGAGAAATAAAATCTTTCGATTCTTCCTCATTTATCAATCTGGACTTCAATCGTAAAATTCCTTCTTCATCTTCAAATATTAGAAGACCTTTCAAATTTTTTCGTGTTTCTTCATTGGAGTAACATTCCTTTTGTATTACACGGAAAATAGTCCTTTGTGCATTTAACAATTCTTCATTTTGAAGTTCCTTACATTTTCTTAAGTCCTTGGCCTTTGGTTGAAAACGCAGTATCCAAGCCATAACCCTAATCATCTTTGAAAATCTAGAGAATCTTCTGGCTAACTGTAATGGAATTGACTCTAGCTCTGTGTTACTAGCAGCAGAGATGACTGACTTTCGTTTCTCTATCTCTACTTACTTCTTTTTTCGTTAATATTTACAGCTGACTTTGGCCACTGCTCCTTCGGATTCTTCAACCAGGCTGGCCCTTGCCACCACTTGCGTTTTCTGAAGTTGCCTAGGTCCACAACCTCTTGACAAAATGTCTGCTGGATTCTGGTCAGTTGAAATATGGAACCAATCTTCCGAAATTGTCAATTTTCTAATTTCACTTATTCTGTTTGTAACGAATACCGACCACTGTTCTCGACGAGTTATCCACACAAGAACTGTGGAAGAATCTGTCCCAAAAGTAAGTCTTGATGTTGGGAAGTTTTAGAGCTTGCTTCACAGAACTAAACAGCCTAGCACCTATGGTAGCAGCCATTAGTTCAAGTCGTGGTATAGTAATAGTCTTCGTTGGAGTTATTCGTGATTTGGCTTGAAGTAATTGAACAGTCACTGAA